AAAAGCCTAAGGAAAACAGGGTGGGTAAAATGAAACGGTTTAAATCTCCACGAGGTCAAGGTCTCCAAAAGCTCCAAAGTTCCAAATTGTAACCGCGAAACGATCGAGCGACAAGGACGACGGAACGTGCAGAGTCTGCGGATGAAGAACCGTTGCAAAGTCTGGATTCCTTGTTCTAGTTAGAAGCAGGGCCCAAGATGAAGTGTCTCAGGTAAAACTGCAGGTACGTCACTGGACGTCTCCAGTGATATCAGTACCACCACAGAAGCCTCTTCGTTGGACTGTCACTTCTGTGGGGTAGACAGTCCCCCTGCTGTGAAACAAAACGGAAAGGCAAACCTGAAAAATCCAAAGGATCCCTATGATTCCAAGGTTACGCACACACACACACGCATGCAAACCAAATCCTGTAATGGTGCCAAGAAACAGTGTCTGACAAATTTGAACCCATGCTCGCATTGCTTTGCTTTTCTGAATCGCTCTTGGCCTGAAGTCAGGAGCATGCGCACGTGAGCTATTCACTCGGCACACAAGCCCTGCATCACCTCACAAGTACTACGCTCTATCCGCATCTGTCCGCTCGCCAATCCTGCGGTGATGCGGCTCTTCTGACTTCCCAAATGTGCCTCATCCGTGGAAGGTGTCGTATCTCCACCAGCCGTCCATTTATTGAAAATGTCGGAGACCGCACGCCCCACATCTTGGGCCTCAGGGGCGCTGTGGCGCTCCAGAGCTGGTCGTACCAAGATTGCCGGCGAAGCACCACTTCGTTCTCGGACACATTCTTTATGGCTTCAGTCACATCTGTTACAGTCTTCTTGATGTCATCCGCCTCAGAACAACAAAACCACTTCCACGTTTGAGTCATGCACTGGCTCGCGAAACCTTCATCACTCGCCGATCTTGCCGCCTAAGTGCCTTCTCATCTGAAGTAGTTGCATTGCCGGCAGCCGACCATTTGTCAATAATGTCAGACACAGCTTGCCCGACATGTTCTGCCTGATCGATCCAACACCGCTGCTGTTCACACAAAAAGGACTTCTGGAAGAAACTGAACAAACATATTGGAGTTGATACTTTACATACATTCCTGCAATGCCGAAAGGCCGAGGCGATTGGGGAGGGGGCCAACCACGTTTCACACAACCCACTGCTTGACGAAATGTCCTTAATGATTCTCAATGTCCCTTGATTGGCAACTCATCCCTTTGTCGCATTTTAGCCACCAGGACACTGCATCGGCAACACTGGAGACATTGCTGCTATTTGCTGTGCTCCGGTCTGAAGCACTGGAAGCACTGGCGTTGGTCGCGCTGCTCTCCACCTCAACAGGTCACAAGGCATGTGCAAGCTTCCACTTCTGTTGTCCCTCCATGCTGGTTGACGTGACCTGCTTTTTGTTCAACTGCAGAAGTAAAGCGCACCTTTTCCGACGAAGTGGTTGTGTTGCCAGACACGGACTTATTGATGATGTCGGCAACGGTCTGCCCCACATCATCTACCTGATTGTCACAATACTACAATAGAATTTAAACAAATATTCTCTCTTGTTCATCTCGCTAATGATAGAATAGATTGCCGACCAAGGGCAACTTTGTGATGTTTGTGAAGTTCCTCTTTGGCGGACGCATTCTTTTCCGCTTCCTTCGCGTCAAACATTGTCATCACATCTTCAGCTGCTTTAGAATGTGCTGTTGTGTTTCACTTTGCACGAAATCTAGGGATTACAGGTGATGTGTTGAGCTTACTCAATTTGGAATATTCTGCTGACATGCACTCGATATGGTGACATTGTCGATCATGAAAAAAGCATAGCAGCACGTCTCCACACATGAACTCTATCCTACCAGTTTCATACCAAGACTCTGAGTCAGAAGGGGTCGAAGCACTGGCGTTGGTCGCGCTGCTCTCCACCTCAACAAGTCACAAGGCATGTGCAAGTTTCCACTTCTGTTGTCTCTCCATGCTGGTTGATGTGACCTGCTTTTTGTTCAGCTGCAAAAGTAAAGCGCACCTTTTCCGACGAAGTGGTTGTGTTGCCAGACAAGGACTTATTGATGATGTCGGCGACGGTCTGC